TCCCCGCAGCTCTGACCTGGCCTCCAGGTTGGTGATTTAGCCAACCAGGTCGTTAGACGCTGCTGTTGGCAGTCTGACGTCTTATCAGTTTTGGATTATATAAACTGCATCACCTAAATGGGCCCCCTCACAAAGGCAAGCTAATGAGAAAATCATCTGGGCGCAACCTAGGGATTTGAAGGCGCTTTCTAGTGACTCTCAGAAGCTTGCCTTAACCTACTAAGGCAACCCACTTTCCCTAGTACTCACCAAGCACAACTAGGTGAGGACTAGGCCACGATAGGACAAAAGCTATTCAACCCGGAACAAATCTACTCAACTAGAGTTGAACTTCAAGACATCCCAAGTTGTCACAGTATCCAAGAGGAACTGGCAATTTAACGTCGAATCAACGCCATCAACAATGATAACGTTGATTCGACGTCGAGCTAACGCCACTCTTGGACACTGTGTGCACTGAGATGAGTAGATAATGGGAGTACTGGATCTTGCATGACATAACAAACGATATAGAAACTACTGAAGCCTGCTTAGATCAAATCATTATTGGAACTACTTGAACCCCTGCTTAGGTACAGGCCTGTCGGGATTAACGATACCTGACGAGACTGCTGACTCCTACTGAACTACAGGACTGACTAGACTGCAGACTCCTACTGAACTACAGGACTGACTAGACTGCTGACTCCTACTGAACTACAGGACTGACTAGACTGCTGACTCCTACTGAACTACAGGACTGACTAGACTGCTGACTCCTACTGAACTACAGGACTGACTAGACTGCTGACACCTGCTGAGCTACAGGACTGACGAGACTGCTATATGTAATTTAAATTGTATTTTCTTAAATAAAGATAAAAAAAAAAAAAATTATATCTCTTTTAGGAGGCTAGAGGCCTACTTCACTGGTTTAAAACTTAGCATATTTCTCTCTAAACCCTTAAAAGGCTTCATATAATTGGTGAGGATCACTGTTTGCTCCTACCGCCCCCGGGAGGGAGGGGGGGGGGGGGCAGCTAAATGTAATACTTGTCAAGTCCCTCTTGAAACCTAAGGTTTGCCCTTCAGAAATCTTATACTTGTCAAGTCCCCCAGAGTGCCTGATGAGGTGATCTTACTGCCTGATTAGGGGTCTAGAACGACTTGATTGGGGTCAAGGATGACTTGATAAGGGTTCAAGGATGACTTGATAAGGGTTCAAGGATGACTTGATAAGGGTTCTGGGCGACATGATAGAAGTCCAGGATGGATTGAGTTGGGTTCTGGACGACTAAATAAGGGTCTAGGGTGACGTGATAAAGGTCAAGGACGACTTTGTAGGGATCCTGCACTACTCGTGCAGTATGAGTGGATAACGGTGCAGGACGAGTGGATAACGGTGCAGGACGAGTGGATAAGGAGCCATGACGAACAGAAACATCCTCACTTACATGTCGCACATGTGGATCGACTGATATGTTTTCAGGGGTCGGTACTGTGACTTACCTTCAGCCAGGGATGAGTTATTCCAGGCTGTGCCAAGCTGTCCTGGGAATATGAAACATCGCAGCCATTTATCCAACTTCTGCTGCATGTTTCTTAGGGAGAACGTACATTGTGTATTTATGAAATACGCGCAGAATAACCAAGTTCTGAGCGGCTGTGTTGTTGTTGTTGTTGCATATTGTTGCAAGAAGCTTCCGTTATCCTCACACTATTACTGACATGCTGTTTATGTTCTCTGACGCTATCTTGCTCCCTTCCATCCTTTTCTGCTCGCTTTTTCTGTCACCATTTATTTCTCCCTCCCTCTCTCTCTCTCTCTCTCTCTCTCTCTCTCTCTCTCTCTCTCTCTCTCTCCTCCTCTCTTCTCTCTCTCTCTCTCTCTCTCTCTCCCTCTCTCTCTCTCTCTCTCTCTCCTCTCTCTCTCTCTCTCTCTCTCTCTCTCTCTCTCTCTCTCTGTCTCTCTCTCTCTCTCTATCTCTCTCTCGCTCTCTCTCTCTCTCTCTCTCTGCTCTCTCTCTCTCTCTCTCTCTCTCTCTCTCTCTCTCTCTCTCTCTCTCTCTCTCTCTCTCTCTCTCTCTCTCTCTCTCTCTCTCTCTCTCTCTCTCTCTCTCTCTCTCTCTCTCTCTCTCTCTCTCTCTCTCTCTCTCTCTCTCTCTCTCTCTCTCTCTCTCTCTCTCTCTCTCTCTCTCTCTCTCTCTCACACACTCTCTCTTTTCCCTTCCCTCTCTCTCTCTCACTCTCTCTATTCACTTCCCTCTCTCTCTCCCTCTCTTCTCTCTCTCTTTGTCATATCTTCCCCTCTTTTAAATCCAGCACAGATGAAGAGTGCTCTCACTGGTCAGGCAGAGGGCAGGTGTGGGCGACTGACACGTGGGAGGGAGACAGGTGTGGGCGACTGACACGTGGGAGGGAGGCAGGTGTGGGCGACTGACACGTGGGAGGGAGGCGGGTGTAGACGACTGACACGTGGGAGGGAGGCAGGTGTGGGCGACTGACACGTGGGAGGGAGGCAGGTGTGGGCGACTGACACGTGGGAGGGAGGCGGGTGTGGACGACTGACACGTGGGAGGGAGGCGGGTGTGGGCGACTGACACATAGGAGGGAGACAGGTGTGGGCGACTGACACGTGGGAGGGAGGCAGGTGTGGGCGACTGATACGTGGGAGGGAGGCAGGTGTGGGCGACGAGGGAGGGAGGCAGGTGTGGGCGACGAGGGAGGGAGGCAGGTGTGGACGACGTGGGAGGGAGGCAGGTGTGGACGACGTGGGAGGGAAGCAGGTGTGGACGACGTGGGAGGGAGGCAGGTGTGGACGACGTGGGAGGGAGGCAGGTGTGGACGACGTGGGAGGGAGGCAGGTGTGGACGACGTGGGAGGGAAGCAGGTGTGGACGACGTGGGAGGGAGGCAGGTGTGGACGACGTGGGAGGGAGGCAGGTGTGGACGACGTGGGAGGGAAGCAGGTGTGGACGACGTGGGAGGGAGGCAGCTGTGGACGACGTGGGAGGGAGGCAGGTGTGGACGACGTGGGAGGGAGGCAGGTGTGGACGACGAGGGAGGGAGGCAGGTGTGGACGACGTGGGAGGGAGGCAGGTGTGGACGACGTGGGAGGGAGGCAGGTGTGGACGACGTGGGAGGGAAGCAGGGTGTGGACGACGTGGGAGGGAGGCAGGTGTGGACGACGTGGGAGGGAGGCAGGTGTGGACGACGTGGGAGGGAAGCAGGTGTGGACGACGTGGGAGGGAGGCAGGTGTGGACGACGTGGGAGGGAGGCAGGTGTGGACGACGTGGGAGGGAAGCAGGTGTGGGACGACGTGGGAGGGAAGCAGGGTGGACGACGTGGGAGGGAGGCAGGTGTGGACGACGTGGGAGGGAGGCAGGTGTGGACGACGTGGGAGGGAAGCAGGTGTGGACGACGTGGGAGGGAGGCAGGTGTGGACGACGTGGGAGGGAGGCAGGTGTGGACGACGTGGGAGGGAGGCAGGTGTGGACGACGTGGGAGGGAGGCAGGTGTGGACGACGTGGGAGGGAGGCAGGTGTGGACGACGTGGGAGGGAGGCAGGTGGGGACGACGTGGGAGGGAGGCAGGTGTGGACGACGTGGGAGGGAGGCAGGTTGTGGACGACGTGGGAGGGAGGCAGGTGTGGACGACGTGGGAGGGAGGCAGGTGTGGACGACGTGGGAGGGAGGCAGGTGTGGACGACGAGGGAGGGAGGCAGGTGTGGACGACGTGGGAGGGAGGCAGGTGGGGACGACGTGGGAGGGAGGCCGTATTTGCCAGTGCTGGGACACTGAGGGAGTGTGACGTCATGATCTTGACATATTACGTACATTATAAGCAAAGTATGATAGTTAGAATTTTGTATTTATTACGTGAACATCATTAAAAAAAATGTGTTATATTATAATAAGATAAAAGAAAAGACTAAATCATAATCAAGTGTTCAGTTAATATGATATTCCAAGAATAGTCATTTGTGCTGACTTTACTTACACCAACCTCACAACCAGGTCAAGACTGCCCAACCACATGCGCTGGACGGTAGAACGACGGTCTCGTTTCATGCAGGCCGGAGTTCAATCCCCCGACCGTTCAAGTGGTTGGGCACCATTCCTTATCCCCTCCCCCACCCTCGTCCCATCGCAAATCGTTATCCAGATCCTTGCCAAGGGCGATATAGTCATAATGGCTTGGCGCTTTCTCCTGATAGTTCCCTTTCTCCTTCCTGGGGAATCCTTTCAGTAAATAACACCAAACGGATCATGTTTGGCGCATCCCTCACAGTAATCAGGGTGCAAAGCTGGGTGAGGCTACTCCCAAGCACCTCCCCTCCTTCCACACCAAACATTCAAATATGTTACATATAGATAAATATATACACGATTTTCTGTCTCTCTGCCTCTATCTATCTATCTATCTATCTATCTATCTATCTATCTATCTATCTATCTATCTATCTATCTATCTATCTATCTATCTATCTATCTATCTATCTATCTATCAATCTGTGTATTCCATTTTCTGTCTTTCTCCCTCTTCTCCCTCTTTCTCCCTCTCCCTCCTCCCCCTTTCTCCCTCTAGGGGCCTCGTAGCCTGGTGGATAGCGCGCAGGATTCGTAATTCTGTGGCGCGGGATCAATTCCCGCACGAGGCAGAAGCAAATGGGCAAAGTTTCTTTCACCCTGAATGCCCCTGTTACCTAGCAGTAAATAGGTACCTGGGAGTTAGTCAGCTGTCACGGGCTGCTTCCTGGGTTGGAGGCCTGGTCGAGGACCGGGCCGCGGGGACACTAAAAAAAAAGCCCCGAAATCATCTCAAGATAACCAAGATAACCTCTTCCTTTCAATTAAGCATTAAATGATTCATTCATTCCGATTAACATACACAAATCTTTCAATACCTTTGATACAAGAATTTCAACTCCTATTCTTATTCAATTTATTTTATATATATATATATATATATATATATATATATATATATATATATATATATATCCACCGTGTCGGCCTCAGGACAAAGGGACGAGTGTGTGGGGACAGGAGAAGACGGGTCGTGGTTCCACTGCTCGGAGGGACGGTGCATTTCGGCGCGTCTCCGTTGTGACAGAAAATTTGACTGTCTATATGGAGAGGACGAGAAGGACTGCCGTAAGTAGAGAGACTTTCGTAATATAGCACCTCTTAATGATATCATATATCTTCACATGTGTTCATAAATTACTGTTTATATCTGTCAGTGAATGATGCTAAGTGATGTCAATATAAGAAACAAAGATTCAGACTATATATTTAACTGTTAAATGTCTGTCAAAACTGACCCGCATCACTTAAAAGTCTTTATAATAAAAAAAAATAGTATTTCTCGATTTCCGTAATATGTCAATTAATGTCAATGACTGACAATATGTGTCAAAATTTATTTGCACTACCTAAAGTCATTGCAATTAAAAAACTTTTATTCTTTGTCCATAACAGTGAAATATATATCAATTTAAAATCAGGCAGTTAAAATCTGTCAAAATTTAACTGCCGTACCTTAAGTTTTCAAACGTAAAAAGACTGTCAATATTTGATAAAGACTGTCCATAATTCTGTCAAAATTTACCTGCACTATTTAAAGTAATTAAAAGTAAAAAAAAAAGTCTTAACCTATCCATATCTGTCAAATGTGAGTCAACACCTGTCAAAACCTGCTGACCTTTGCAGCGGTGGTGGAGTGCCAGGAGAAGGAGTGGCAGTGTGCCAGTGGGCAGTGTGTACAACTGGCTGACAGATGTGACCTTCACTTCCACTGCCTCGATAAATCGGACGAACTGAACTGCAGTGAGTTACTCAGCTAGATTTTATAGTTGTCGTTGTTGGTCGTCAGATTATGTATGCTTTGGTTGGAAGTTTTAATGTATTTTGTCACGACATTTATTTGCAGAGTGTTGTAGTATTTTTTTCCTCATATTATTTATATTTTGGTTAGTTTTTTTAATTGTTTTTGTCAAAATACATTAATTGTTAGTGTTTTGATGTATATTTTGCTTTATTTGTCACATTCTGTGTGCTTTGGTAGCAGTTTTACATCTATTTTGTCCAAAATACATTCATTTTTGGTACGGTGATGTATGTTTTTGTTTAGCAGGTTCTGTATGTTTTTCTTATAAACGAATGCAGGTGTTGTTTTGTTCGTGAAATGTTAAGATGTGTTACTTCCCTGCCTTTACTTTCTTGTCTTCTTGTTTGGGTTTTATATTTTCCGTGTTAAGATAGAAGGCGCTGACCGTTATGATGTTGTCCTAACGTTAATTACATGAATATGAACAAATCCACAAGGGCGGTGACGAGGATTCGAACCTACGTCCGAGAGGATCCCAGACGCTGCCTTAATCGACTGAGCTACGACATGGTAAAAATAATTGCAACCGGGAAATCACTCGGATTTACCAACGGTTCCTGCAGTCTCTCCGAGACACAAACCAGGGTTTTTACACAACTCCCCCCATGCACCCGAGCTATGTTAATAGACTGTTCTACCTCTTCACCCTTACTTCATTACACACAGAGACTGCATGAACCGTTGGTAAATCAGGATGATTTCCCGGTTGCAATTCCTTTGACCATGTCGTAGCTCAGTCGATTAATGCAGCGTCTGGGATCCTCTCGGACGTAGGTTCGAATCCTCGTCACGGCCCTTGTAGATTTGTTCATTTGATGCAGCACGCTATTGTGATTTCTGTGTGTTACATGAAAACATCGTGTATTCACCTATTTGTGCTTGCGGGGGTTGAGCTCTGCTCTTTCGGCCCGCCTCTCAACTGTCAAGCAATCAACTGTAAGTGATGTGTGTGTGTGTGTGTGTGTGTGTGTGTGTGTGTTTGTGTGTGTGTGTGTGTGTGTGTGTGTGTGTGTGTGTGTGTGTGTGTGTGTACTCACCTAGTTGTGCTTGCGGGGGTTGAGCTCTGGCTCTTTGGTCCCGCCTCTCAACCGTCAATCATCAGGTGCACAGGTTCCTGAGCCTATTGGGCTCTATCATATCTACACTTGAAACTGTGTATGGAGTCAGCCTCCACCACATTGCTTCCTAATGCATTCCATTTGTCAACCACTCTGACACTAAAAAAGTTCTTTCTAATATCTCTGTGGCTCATTTGGGCACTCAGTGTCCACCTGTGTCCCCTAGTGCATGTGCCCCTTGTGTTAAATAGCCTATCTTTATCAACCCTGTCGATTCCCTTGAGAATCTTGAATGTGGTGATCATGTCCCCCCTAACTCTTCTGTCTTCCAACGAAGTGAGGTTCAATTCCCGTAGTCTCTCCTCGTAGCTCATACCTTTCAGCTCGGGTACTAGTCTGGTGGCAAACCTTTGAACCTTTTCCAGTTTAGTCTTATGCTTGACTAGATATGGACTCCATGCTGGAACCGCATACTCCAGGATTGGTCTGACATATGTGGTATATAATGTTCTGAAAGATTCCTTACACAAGTTTCTAATGGCCGTTCTTATGTTAGCCAACCTGGCATATGCTGCTGATGTTATCCTCTTGATATGAGCTTCAGGGGACAGGTCTGGCGTGATATCAACCCCCAGGTCTTTCTCTCTCTCGGACTCTTGAAGTATTTCATCTCCCATGTGATACCTTGTATCTGGTCTCCTGCTTCCTACTCCTATCTTCATTACATTACATTTGCTTGGGTTAAACTCTAACATCCATTTGTTCGACCATTCCTGCAGCTTGTCCAGGTCTTCTTGAAGCCTCAAGCTGTTCTCCTCTGTCTTAATCCTTCTCATAATTTTGGCGTCGTCAGCAAACATTGAGAGGAATGAGTCTATACCCTCTGGGAGATCATTTACGTATATCAGAAACAGGATAGGTCCAAGCACAGAGCCCTGTGGGACTCCACTGGTGACTTCCCGCCATTCTGAGGTCTCACCCCTCACTATAACTCTCTGCTTCCTATTGCTTAGGTACTCCCTTATCCACTGGAGCGCCCTACCAGTTACTCCTGCCTGTTTCTCCAGCTTATGCATCAACCTTTTATGGGGTACTGTGTCAAAGGCTTTCCGACAGTCCAAAAAAATGCAGTCCGCCTATCCTTCTCTTTCTTGCTTAATCTTTGTCACCTGATCATAGAATTCTATCAAGCCTGTAAGGCAAGATTTACCCTCCCTGAACCCATGTTGATGGGTTGTCACGAAGTCTCTTCTCTCCAGATGTGTTACTAGGTTTTTTCTCACAATCTTCTCCATCACCTAGCATGGTATACAAGTTAAGGACACTGGCCTGTAGTTCAGTGCCTCTTGTCTGTCACCCTTTTTAAATATTGGTACTACATTAGCAGTCTTCCATACTTCTGATAGGTCTCCCGTTTCCAGTGACCTACTATACACTATGCGTATGTGTGTGTGTGTGTGTGTGTGTGTGTGTGTGTGTGTGTGTGTGTGTGTGTGTGTGTGTGTGTGTGTGTGAATATCAGCGTATGCTTCTATGTAAAATATTTGATAAGAGCTTTAAATATGCAGCTTATTGAACTAGGAAACAGAGTGCGGCTAGAGCTGAATATTAACTCAAAATTCCATCGGCTAATTTAAACTTTTTGCCGTCATTGTTGGCTAATTTGCCTTTGTCAAAGCAAAACAAACTTCAAATTTCTTCGAAATAATATTATAACGTCAAAATAATCCATTTACAAAATCATCCCAGATTATATAGTTTTGTTGTCATTGTCATTATTTCGTGCATTAAATCTTAAGTTTAATATAAATTTGTTCATGCAAAGGAAAGCTCATATTTTGGTGTATTGTATTATCCAAGATACAATAAAGGGGAATATATTCACTAATTATTGTATATCAATTATTGTATATCCATTTTTGTATCTCCATTATTGTATAGCCATTATTGTATATCAATTATCGTATAGCCATTACTCAGAACATAATCTTAAAATAAGTATCTTGTAGGACGAGACATCAAAAGTTTTTTTTCTTTAGGAAGATATTACGTATAGAATGTTAGTATGGATAATGGTTATGTGGTAGACAGTTACATATAACTATTCTGTAGTAGATGGTTAGATATTATGATCAGGTGGTGGATGGATGCAAATAGTGGTTATGTGGTAGACACAAAGCATATATTGGTTCAGCTGCAGATGGCTACACATAATGGTTGTGTTGTAGGAAGTTATATAGAAACACAAGAGGCTCTAAAGTCAAGGGATCTTAACCGGGTGTATCCATACCCCTTTGAAGGTTATGGGACTCTATATCTGAACGATTTAAAATAAAACTGTAATATATAACAATAAACTCAGATCATCAGTAACTATACCTCAATTCCATGTTTTAATTGCACAAAAATATAAATAAGTGATTTGGTGTTTTTCTATAAATGACTGTGATAAAATCCCCTTGATTTTCTATCAACAGTTCTATTCCCAGCTATCCATTTTTTTTAGATTAAAACAAATGAATTGCCGTTTTTTTTAAGTAATATCGATACCGATACACACACAGAGCAACCTCGGAACATATACACACTAGAGCAACCTCGGAACATATACACACTAGAGCAACCTCGGAACATATACACACTAGAGCAACCTCGGTACATATACACACTAGAGCAACCTCGGAACATATACACACTAGAGCAACCTCGGAACATACACACTAGAGCAACCTCGGAACATATACACACTAGAGCAACCTCGGAACATATACACACTAGAGCCACCTCGGAACATATACACACTAGAGCAACCCTGGAACATATACACACTAGAGCAACCTCGGAACATATACACACTAGAGCAACTTGACAGATACTAGTAATTCAATGGGGATTTGCATACTGTAAAATGTTTTTTACCGTATTTCAGTAAAACAATATTTCGTCAACTAGGCTCGGTTATAATATCACACAAAAGACGTTTAGCTGCAAAATGTTTAAAGTCTTCGAAAAAAAAATTTAATTAAAACATTAAAAAAAAAATCGGACAGCGTTAAAAAAAACTAATATTCAAGCAGCCTTCAAAGAAATGGATAAAAATAACAGTCTTATTTTTTCTTTAAGGACTTGAATGAGGAGTATTCCGTGTCTTCTTAAAGATTCAAATGAATCGTCGAATTTGGGCTTAAAGATCTTTCTTTTTTTTTTTTGGAGAAAAATCTTCACAAGCGTCATTTATGAAGTGGTTATATCTAACCACGTGCGTAATTTCCATGGTAAATCACATAACCATTCGTGGCCGTTACTTAGTCCCAAGATACATCAAATATACGGTGTTTTTAATTTAACTAGAGCGTTACAGTTTTAACGTTAGAGTCGATTCTGCATGTGACACATTGTTTCCTAGTCAATTGATTGATTCATTAATAAAATTTCATACATAAATGGAAAGACATTTTATTTATACTTTTTTGCATGAAACATTGAGCTTAAAATTACAATTGTCTGTTATATTTTTAGGTATATTTGTTATGTGATATGACAACAAAGGTTTGAAGGTATTTTAACAAATGTTAAATGGGGAAACATTTAGAGTAAGAGAATATACACCTTTAAAACATACATTAAATAATTGCGATAAAGGTATTATTGTGAACTCTGTTGACTGAATTCTCTAAGAATTAGTCTGTAACGTTATTTAAACAGAACTGCACTCCGAAGCTGCTCTCCAAGCTTGAACTGTTCTCCACAGGGAAGCTTGGAAAGGACTTAATTTTAAATATGTATGCTCATTTGTATTCTCTGGAGTTCTCTCCCCTTGATGCGAATGTCTTGGTCAGGTGTGGGTATAGGTTCCAGGGTTGCTCTATTGTATATATGTT